ATTGAGCCATTGACCACTACCCTCTGAATCCGTCCATCCAACCAGTTCCTTATCCACCGAACAGTCCATCCTCAAATCCGTACCTCTGCAGTTTAGAGAGAAGGATGTTGTGGGGGACTTTGTCAAAGGCCTTACCGAGGTCCAGATAGACGACATCTGTAGCCCTTCCCCTGTCCACTGATGTAGACACGGGACTTTGTCAAAGGCCTTACAGAGGTCCAGATAGACGACATCTGTAGCCCTTCCCATGTCCACTGATGTAGTCACTCCGTCATAGAAGGCCACTAGGTTGGTCAGGAGGATCTGTTCCATGATCTTCCCAGGCACAAAGGTGAGACTGACTGGCCTGTAGTTCCCCAGGTCTTCCTTTTTTCCCTTTTTTAAAAATGGGGGTTATGTTTCCCTTTTTCCAGTCAGTGGGAACTTCACCGGACTGCCACGACTTCTCAGATACGATGGATAGTGATTTAGCAACTTCATCCACCAGTTCCCTCAGGACCTGCGGATGGATCTCATCGGGTCCCATGGACTTGTGCACCTTCAGGTTCCTTAGATGGTCTCGAACCTGATCTTCTCCTACAGTGGGCGGCTCTTCATTTTCCCAGTCCCTGCCTTTGCCCTTCTGTGGCTTGGGCAGTGAGGCTCGAGCACTTGCCAGTGAAGACCAAGGCAAATCAGATCTTTTCACTCTAGTCTGCTAGCTGTCTGGCTAATGAGGAGAATGCTATTAATGTTTCTAATTTTCTTAAAAAAAAATTATTTTACTTGTCACTTCTGAGTTCTGATATTTCTTTTTTCAGGGATGTCTTCCTTCATAGCTTGTAAATACTTCTAAACACTTAGTCACTGTCCAGTGCATCATAGGAATTATCATATAAAGCTAGTGGTGTGTTTTCAGTAATGGCTGGTGTTAGACAGTTGAGTACAAAGTATAAATCCCGCTTCCACATTGTATTCTTCTAGTCTCAAGTGACAATATTGCCATGGATTTTTACCTATTGTAAAGCAGTCAATGAATTGAATGTCTGAAATCATACAATTATCCACTAGACCTCTATAGAAGGCATGAGTATTTGACATACTCATATAAACACCTAAACACTTTAAAATTTTAATGTTCTGCAGTGGCAGGTTCTAATGAGTAATAGCATGTCAAGTGCTTTTTTTTCCAAGAGCAGGTAAGAGACACTGTAGGAGAATGGTAAAAAGCCCAATTATTTTTGCTGTATATTTCTCTGTTGTTACTATAGTATGCTTTTCTCCCCTGAATTCTATTCTAATGTATGAAATAACTTACTGCCATGTATTGGACGTGGCTCATATCCCTTCTGTTCCTTGAGGTTCGAGTAAAGGTATTTGCTTTCATGAACACCTGATAGAGATGACTTAAACTGAGGAAACAACACAAATATATACATGGAAAGGAATACTTATTACAAGTGTTTCTAAGCTTTACTGAAGAGTGGAAGATTCTCCAAAAACACTTCTCTGTATTTTTTTTGATTAATGTAGCCTAGATTTTCTATTTGTCATCTCTAATTGTTTTGGTTAATATTTGTTATTACTTTTATTAGGTGTAATTTCTATTCCTACTTTTGCCTTTCATTGTTCTAAGACTTCATAATTTAGTCAAAACCTTGGAAGTGTAGACACTTGGTAGTGGGATTAATTACTGTTGACGCAGTTACATGAGGTTTCAGGTGCTAAGTTTAGTATCTGCCAAAGAGCCCATCTTCTAACTATAAATTCATATCAGTAGTAATAGAGTTTTTGTAGTGGTTTTTATGTATGAGGATGTTTAAACAGTTAATGTACTTTCTAAAAAACCCTTTGCAATTCTTGCAGCAACAAGCTTTAGAACTGGCATTGGATCGTGCAGAGGTAAGGAGTAGCTACATTATTTTTTTGCGCATAATATATTGGTCTCACAGTTTAAAAAGTAACTATTGTATTTTTATATTTCTCCTGAAAAGCGGTGGAGGAGCATGTTATGTAAATATATATATGTGTGTGTGTATAAATAATCACTCATATGTGTAACACTGGTTTTTGCAAAATTCTCACTAAAATTGCTATGTCGCGTATTTGTCTCTTACTTGTTGTATTGAGAACTTCATCAGGTGCAATGATGATAGACTATGTAGGACTTCAGTTTCCCCTTTTAAACCAGCAAATCTGTGTGCTGTGAAATAAGCAGAGCTGTACAGTGGTGATCCAGAGACAGCTGGCAGAAATACATGGCAAAATCCTGTTTGTGTTTTTAATGGTAGCCCAGTTAGAACAAAGAGGCAAGTGCCTTCACGTTCATGTTCTTTCATGCTGACATCTGATATAATGGTTACCTTGAACCCTTTTCTATGGGAGAACCTCTCTTCATTGAAATTCTGAACTAAGCTGTTAATCAAAATACTTCAGACAAACAATAGAGATTTGGAAAAACCTTGTTAGAATATAAGCTACGTTTAATGTAGGATGGTATCTTTCTTCTTTTTTAATTCAAATATTTAATGTATGTGATCTGTATTTATAATACACAGCTCTATAGAGAAAACTAGTGTAAATGCAAGAAACAAGGGGAAAATTAAACTTCCTGAAGTTGGTTATGTTGAGTACTTGATTTGTAAATATTGTCGAGCCAGTATGCATGAATTTAGTTGTATCTTGGCATGTTGACTTCAGTATGTTACCATGTTAACTTCAGTAGCATTACTACAGTAGTTAACTAAATACAGTAGCGTTAACTGCTACAGTAGTGTTATTTTCTACTGTAATTACAAAACATGAATGTAAAACCAAGACTTTGTGTGCAACTCATGCCATATCCATGAAATGCTGTGTTTCACAGCTAAATTGGGATGTGTCCTTTTTGATGACTGTAACATACACCAGATCATGTTTAGTACACTTTTGAAACAGTCATGTACCATAACCATTAATTACTTTCTATATCCATAGAACACTGTCTGGTAATGATCTAAAGTTGCATGGTAGCTAGAATTAAGTTTCTTTGTAATATATATGTTATTTTTTGCTTTACTCTTCTCTTCTAGTATATCATTGAAAGTGCCCGTCAGAGACCCCCCAAAAGAAAATATTTATCCAGTGGAAGGTAGTAAGAGTTTCAGTATTTAGCTTTTAAATAGCATTTATTTGATTTAATTTTGTTTACATTTTAATCTTTTTTATTTTCAGAAAATCTGTATGTCAAAAACTCTATGACTTATATATAGAAGAATGTGAAAAAGAGCCTGAGATAAAGGTAAGTGGAAATTGCTGAGAAGCTTTTCATTGCTGTCTGAACAGGCAAGTTCAGAAAATACTTTTTTTTAATTTCACTTAATTCCTTTGTTAAGAAAGAATAAATTCTAGTTACTGTAGTAGTTACCTAAGGCTAACACTACAGGAGAAACGGTTGTTATGACTTTTGTGGACTAAACTGTGTAATTTAATAGCATCATCTTAATTCAGCTTGAAAGAAAAACAAGGTGATGGGAGGGTCAATGGCTACCTGGTAACCCTAAATCTGTTTTTAAAGGTAACAAGGTAGATGCTGGCAGAGGATTGTAAAGATTGTGCTCTTGAGATGCTTTTCTATATATGAAAAGAGAGAATTTCAGAAGAATGGTCTAGAATGCAGAGGTGTATCTAACAAGTTTATTAGATAACAGTACTACTAAAATAACTGTGTGATATAATATGAATAGTAAGGCCTAGACTGGCTTGAGTGACCTGTTCATTCTGACTTAATCCTGTGTCACTGAAGTCAGTTCTGGTCAAGTTCAGGGCCAATGTCAATACCACGTGCATTGTGGTCAGTATCACTGTTTCAGAATCAATTGCTTATCATGACTGCCATGGGAAAAAATGCGGAGAATTTTTTAGAATCTGTGCTTTGTTGTAAATTCAGATTTATTCCTCGGATAACTGATGAACTGCTAAGGTGTTTTGTGAAGTTTTTTCATAACGTTAACAAAGCAGCTCAAACAGGCTTAGCAACAATAAATCTAAGGTGTAAAAGGCACAAGCTACTTTGCTAAACTGTGAATATCAAATGGAATGAGAACAAGAAGTGTGGAATCTGCTGTATTGCTGCTTCCCAAGGAAGTAAAAACGTGTGAGAAGACAAATGGGAATGATATGTTAGTTACTGAGCACCTGTAATTCTGATGTAGTTGGTTTTATTTAGCGTATGATGCTGATTCAAATCACAAGTGTGAGTAAGGTGTTAAGCAACTTATAGACTTGAAAAGATTAAAACATCAATAGTGAATGAGTAACAAGATATTTGAGCAGCAGGGGGAAGATCGGGCTTGCTAGACTGGAATCTGGGAAAAAAGTATGATTTCAATGTGATAGTTGTTGCTAAACTAGAAGGCACTCAGCAAACTTAACCCAACTATATTAAAATTAAAGTAGTGAAGGGAGTTATAACATCACAGTAGATGAAGTGGATTATTGCTGATCTAGATTTGAGTAAAAATTTAAGTTCTTCTTTATTGAAGAATTGGAAGCTTATTATGATAGAAACATTTGTATTTAGAGCCCTTATTCACTGAACTAAGATGTGGACAGTTAATAGATATCTTGGTCTTCTGTAATGGATTGTAATTATTGAAAATGAGAAGCTCAAAGGTCGAGGTGCAAAGGTTAGAAGATAATGCTGTTGTGAAACTTCATCCATGAGCATAGGACTGCTTATTTGTCTCTTAATTTGCACAATAAAACTGAAGAAGGAAATAGTATTCTGACTAGAGTTTGGCCAATGACTTGAATGTAGCTTAAAGGTACACTTAAATGTACACTAAAGCTTTTAGTGTACAGAACTGTCGAAGTTTCTATTCCAGTATTGTACCATTTTGATGGTACAAGTTGTAATTATGTTGTCCACTCAGAAGCAATTTTTAAATTGACTCTGAATATTATTTTTCAGTTTTAACTTTCTCCCTTTATCTTAGCTCTTGTAATACTGCATCTCTCCCATGTGCCTATTTTCTACCCTGCAGTTTACTTGGTCACTCATATCCTTCTTCTTGGTGTTCATAGGCAAGACCAGGTTTTCACAATAATTCATGAAGGACTAATTAATTAATCATCCTCTATTAGTCCAGTCTGCCCGGTTTCATTACTTCTCAGCATCTCTTCTGTTTGTTCACATGCACACTAGAGAGAGAACTAACTATGTTGAGGTGATTATCTAGAGCAATTTGTTTGATTTGGACTCTAGTGTGCAGCATTCCTGTACCTAAAAGTTGAAAGAAATAAAAATCAAAACAATTTTGGAAGCAGTCTTAAATACAAATGTGGAAGCAGACCTGTCTGTGGGCTGGAAGTATCTATGCTAGGCAGGTAAATCTGAGGGGTTCCACTACACACACACACACACACACACACAAAATTTAAAAGTCATGGATCAGTTGCCTATTCTCAGTTGGTGCCTTCTGGCAGCTGCACATGATAACATCAGTGTGCGAGCATGAAGACATCTCAGAGTAATGAAAGTTTCAGAACGCTGTTAATGAAAGTCACTTGAGTTCCACGTTGGACTAGTGCAAAAATACTAAAGCACCTATCTGCTACTTTGCTGTAAAAGTGCTTCTAGGAGGTACATTGGTAGCTGTGGGGAGTGAGTAATTATGATACATGAATAAACCAAACGGTGCCAGATAACAGTGGGGTTTTTGTTTGTCTGTTTTGGTGGGATTTTTTGTCCTTGGTTAATCTCTAATGGTAATGAATGATATGCAGGGTTGGATGTATTTGGGAAACTGTATAAAACATCATCTTTCATGCATCTTTCTGTTCTTGAAGAAAATATAACTAACTTGCATGTGTAAGGTGGGGAAACAATTGACTGTAAGAATGCACTTTAAAGTAAAGCTAACCTCATTAGGGTGAAACAAGCAGACTTTGTTCAGACCACAGTATTCCTGAAGTTTTATCTACAAAAACTTACCTTAGGTGTTACTTATGAAACAAATGTTTTCTTGCCTCCACTACAGAGGCTGCATGGCCCTTGTCTTTATGAGCTGCATTACTACTAGTCTGTATTAGAAGGGCAGCCTAAAGATTGACACAGCCAGTTACATCCTAGAGGAAGTTAAAAGTTGCAGTCTTCTCTTAGGATCTAATTTCGGTTCAGCTAGGTCACAAACATCTTTAGGCTTCTGTTTATTCCTTGTATTTTGTAACAAAAGATGATGCTTCCTCAAGTTGTTTTATTGAGTTGGGTTTTATTTTTCAGTCAATATATACAAAACTCGGCTTTATATTTTCTGCTTCCTGAAAGAACAATGCTTAGCATTGTTCATGAAGTTAATTTTCAAATAGTTAATAGTTCTGTTGAAGTTGAGACAAAATTGTACCTTCCAAGGTGCATTTCTATGCATTTGTAAAATGGTGCTGGGATTAATGAAACGTGTCCAAAGTCAAGGGAAGAACCTGGGGTGGTGGGTTTAGATTTCCATTTCACAGATTCCATTTCACTGTTTATTTTATGGTTTTTGACCAACTTTTGAGTCATAAAGGTAAGTGGGAAAATAGATTTAAGATGCTACAGTGAGGGACAAGAAAAGCAGTCGTGATAAAGATAAAATCATAATTTTGTGTAACACCAGTGCACTGCTGGACGAGTAGGTGTTTTCACAGAAATATAGTAAGTAGCTACAAGAGCTTTTTTTTATGGAGGTGATCTGTTTATTTTATGGTTTTTGACCAACTTTTGAGTCATAAAGGTAAGTGGGAAAATAGATTTAAGATGCTACAGTGAGGGACAAGAAAAGCAGTCGTGATAAAGATAAAATCATAATTTTGTGTAACACCAGTGCACTGCTGGATGAGTAGGTGTTAAAATTAACGTTTTGCTCATAGGAAAGGACAGAGGAGTAACAAACATAGGATAAAATCTCTACTTCAGTCTTGTTAGGCAGGAGTACTCAGTATTCTTTATTTGGTGGTAGTCAACAGAAGTCACTGGGAGCAAAAGGAAGCACCTGTGCCTTCTCTGTACTGCTTCCCAGCCATCCTGCAGTCACTGCAGTGCGTGTTCAGGAGGGAGGAGTGCTGCTTTTCTGTGGATGAAGTCAGAGAGGGTTAGGAGTTTTAGCTGGTGTAACAGAGCAGTTGGCCTGGTTGCTTGGTATCTGAACTCTTGCAATATACTGCGATGAACACTTAAGAAACGTAGTACACCTCAGGCCACTCCTTCATCTTTAAAATCTTTCCAGACAAGACCTGAGCTAATGCTTAATATCAGCTCTGAGCTGGTATCTCTAATAGCCAGGTCAAAAGAGAAAGCTGATTTTTGTAGTCATAAAAAATTTGTATGCTTAGTGAAATGTAACTTTACCTGCTTATTGAAATGTTTGCAATTAAAATGCTAATTTATTCCAATGTCTTAGAGAGGCTTTGTATTTTATTATGTGCTTAGAATATGTCTTAAGAAGTTCAGGTCATATGAATGCAGCGTCAAAAATGTGCTTAGGCCTGTGTTATTGTCCTCTCCTCTTTCCTTTACCTGTCTTCCCCCTTCAACATCCTAACCCCCAACAAAAGGAAACAAACAAAAAAACCCCTAAGCCATAACTGGCGAACTATTATTGAAAAAAACCTAAAGAATAAAAAATAAAACTAACATGTCATTCACCAAATGAATTTAAATTAGAGAGTGATGTGATTAGTTCTATTTAATTACATTTACAATTGAATTATCATTATAGATTTTACTTATGAGGTGTTTAAGGAGCAGAGGCCTTTCATAAAAATACATCTCATGGCTATTTCTCGCACACATAGACAGATTTCTGGGGGAAAAAAGATTAATTGGTTATTTAGAAATTCAATGAGTGGTTACTAGTTAGTATAAATTATTCAGTGCCTGTATTTTGCATGGAGTAATGCCCTTAATTGATTGATCCTTTTTCTTCAGCTCATGAAAATAGTGAAGTTCAATTAGAAATGTTAACAGTATTATTAGTAACCACTTCTAGAAGCAGTATTAATTCTGTCCCAATGATAGAGGAATGGAATTGTTTTTATTTTTTTGATTGCTTTCTTTTTTATTTTTAAATATAACTTTAGTATAAATAATTAGTATCTTCTTAACCTCTCTTACATAACCTGATGATCCTTTTTTAAATCAACTCTTACAGAATTCTCATATTCCTTTCTGTCTTCCTAATGCCATTGCATGACTAAATATGAAAGTATTAATCTATCCAACACTGAAAAAGAACTTTTCCTTTAAAAGATGACAATATCTCAATTCTTAAGAGAAAAGATGTCAGAGTAGTTGAGTGTTGACTTCGCTCTCCAATGGCAATTACTGTACCCCAGGTTGCTTCATACTGTGTCTAAGTGAAAGCCCAATAGCTATATCCCCTACTCAGCAATGTGTCTGAAAATTGAGGCAGCGCATGTGCAGTCTCTTGTTCTGGGGTAGATGTGGGGGGTGGTTAATAGGAGTTTTAACTGAAGAAGGGTTTGCATAACAGGCTGCATCACCAGAGTCCTATATGAGGAAATGGCTTTCCTGAGTAGTCTCTACCTTTACTGTTGCCATGACATGTTTTCCCCCATTCTTCCCTGCTCCTCTGGTTCTTTCCCCATTAATTCTCCTGGATTTATGTGCTACTTTGTCCTTTTCTTTGTGTTAGTTTCCACAATTTCTGAACTGTAAAAGGCAGTAGGATGTAGTCACCGTCATTCATGACGCATGGGGAAGAGTTAACTTTGGGCAATGGTTCCAAAACTACATAGCAGGAGGTGAAAAAGGTTTTCCTTCTTTTTCTCTGCATACCTGTTAAAATGATTTGTTGGATTATATTGCTGTGGGATTTGGGGTTTTGTTTTTGGTACTTTTCTCTTAGGAACAGTTCCTTTACAAGTAATGATTCTGCTTTCTATCTTCCCAATATCTCTGGAAAGATAAACTTGTTCAAAAAGAGATAGCCCGCTACTACTTAGTTGCGTGTGTGCGAAATGAGTAGTTGGGCAGTCTGAGTGCTAGGGTTAACTTCCAACGAGTGGCTCCACCCAGACCTGGTATTCAGCTATGAAATCTACCCTCCAACCAGAAGGTGTAAAATTGTCTGACGTTTAGAATTCGTTGTTCTAAGTTCCTAGGGGGCTTTTAAAACGTTTAAATTTGTAGAATGTACATGGGGTCTTTGCAACATGCTAATTAATTTTAAGAATCTGTTATACGTGGAAAAGATCATTCCTACAATTAAAAAAGGGAATAGCCTCTGCAGCTGCTGGATCAGATTTCAGCAAATACAGACAAGGCAATGCAGTTAAAGCTTCCAAAAGCTGTAATTCAATATTTTAATCCTGGAAAGAAATATCTGCTTCTCTTAGGAATATTTGAAAGTACTAAATATTTTGTTGTTGTTATCAAACAATGTATAGTGTATAAATGGTGGTATAAATGATGTTTATAGAAATGATACGAATAATAGTACACTGTAGAGTTACAACATTGTAGCATAGGGTCATTCGTGTTGAATGTCATTCTTGACAACTGTGTTGTCTGTGGACTTATAATTCAAGGATTTTTTTTTATTTAAATGAGTGTTTTTTTTTTTTTAATCTGTGTGTATAAGTATGCTGTATAATAATATGTAATGAATATACTCTGCTGAATATAGGCCAATTTAACTGGGCTTGTTTAGCTATATACTTCAACATTAATTTAAATAGTACTCATATTCTAGCAATTGTTTTTTATTGCTGCTAATTATTTGATAGTATTTGCTAATTATTTGATAGTATTATGTTCATAAGCAATGTTTACTTTTAAAGCAGAAGCTGAGGCGAAATGTGAATTTACTTGAGAAGCTGGTTATGCAGGAGACGTTGTCATGTCTGGTAGTGAACCTCTATCCGGGAAATGAGGGTTATTCACTTATGCTCAGGGGAAAAAATGGTTCAGGTAATATTTTTGCTATTTATTTTTATAAATACTCAGAATGCTCTATAAATAGTTAGAATGTGTTGTTGCTTACATCTAACTGTTTTGCTTCTAATATAATCCCTGGTGAAGGAAAAAAAAAAACAAACACTAACAACTGTACTTGAACTAAAAATTTGCATAAAGCTGTGAGGTGCTTAGAAATGGTCTCTAATGGTGCAGCGTAAATCAGTAGATATGAGTCTTTTTGTTAGCCTTCCATTCTTTTATTTCCCCTTAGCTTCCCGAGTTGCTTAGCTGAGTTTCTCTTGCTTCAGGTTCCTTCTGTCAATTTGTTTCTTTCACTGCTTCCTAAATCTAGGTCTGACTAAAGGCATCTGTGTTCCAGTTTAGTTGCATCTTCATGCCACTGGTACTGTGACATGCAATAGGAGCACACAGTGTGTTAGCTGGGAGCAAAAATTTCATCCCATTGAGCTATAAAGGCATGTTGCCTTTTGGCGCAATAAAAGCAAAATCAAGCTCTGGGAACAGAAATGGATGTAAAAAATTATTACTATGCAAAAAAATTGCCTGTTTGGATAGGTTTCCACTGGCCCTACTTTTTCCTGTGGCAAGCTTGTTTTAGATTTCACATTGTTGGAGTTTGAACTTGAAAGGCAAAAGAAAAGCAATATGTTTTGTTTAAATTCAGATTCTGAGACCATTCGGCTGCCTTATGAGGAAGGAGAGCTGCTTGAATATTTGGATGCAGAGGAGCTGCCACCGATTTTGGTTGATCTTTTAGAAAAATCTCAGGTTTGAAAGTTTTCTTTTCAAAAAGAACTTATGTTTGTGCCTAGATAGACCTTGATTTTTTGAATGCTTCACATAAGTGATTCAAACGAAAAGATGTAAAATACTTGTGCATTTGGAACTGTAGTATTTAATGCCCCAAATAAATTATTTATTGATACATAGGGAAAAAACAATAAATATTGGGGAGAAAGGGATAGAAGAGAGATTGCTATGGATAAGGCTGCCAAACAACTTCAACTCTGTGCTCTAGGAAAATATCCTTTGTTCTTTGTCATTATGAAGTATTTCACATGGGAATTGCTTAAAACTACATTGCTGGCATTTGAAAACACTATATTTGAAGCTTGTATTTTAGGTATGTCTAGGTATGTAGTAAAGACCACTGGTCTGACAAAATTAGTGATTAGTTTTATTCATAATATCACTGAATATTGTATGATACATCACAAACTTGTTTTTGGAGGCAGGGGCTGAGGCAGATTGGTAAATATTTGTTTATTTACAAGTTGGTTTTTTTGTTTCAACTAGGTTAATATTTTTCATTGTGGATGTGTCATAGCAGAAATACGTGACTATAGGCAGTCTGGTAACATGAAATCTCCAACGTACCAAAGCAAGCACATTCTTTTGCGTCCTACAATGCAGGTAAGAAGAGTTTTAAGTCGTTCCTCACTGTTACGGTAGTTCCTAGACTGGATATGAACTATTACTGAACATACGTTAAGAAATCTTATTATTTAGTTGAAAGCTAATTACTATTATGTCTTCTTCCTCAGACTTTAATTTGTGATGTGCATTCTATAACAAGTGACAACCACAAATGGACACAGGTGGGTTAGCAGTTATTTTAAAACCTTACAGTGATATGGTAAATACACAATAAAATAATTTTTATTTAAATTATTTATTTGTTTAATAAAATCTGATAAACAAAACTGATTATGTTTTTGATTAATTCAGTGATGTGCATAGTGCTGCATGGGACATACTCCAGAGAGCTGTCAAATTAACTTGTTAATAGCATCTTCCCACAAGATGCCATAGAAAACAATAGGATTTGCTAAAGTTTTTGTAGAATCAGACCTTAATTTTTGGTAATGCAGAATGACAGTATTTGAGTTACTCTAACTAGTTTACCCTACTTCATTCATCTTCAGCAAAGATCCCCAGAACAGCAGTTGGAGTCTGAGACAGTTGCTCCTCTAGCATCATTTTGCTATTGATAATGTTACAGTAAAGAGAATCCTAAGTAACTACGGTTGTACAGTTATAGCTAGTTAAATGCTGAATATCGTGGTGTACTCAATGTGGTCGTTTGTATTTTAGACCACAATCGTGCTCAAATGCATTTCAAATTCTAATCTAAAGTCCCAGGTAGATCATCTTTATGGCACTGATTGCCAGTCACTGGCAGAAAATGGATTTCATTCCCACAAGTACTGTGTTTAAAACAAAGAAAACACAAACAAAAAAACAGAACATACCCTCTACTTTTAAGAAGGATTTATTTTCCTATTGGAAACCCCACCCAAAGCTCTGTAATTCATAATAATGGTTAGTGATACTGAACTGTTGAATATTTTCTTTTGTTGACTATCCACACCAATTTTTTCAGTTTTCTTTAACATAATATGCACATATGCGTAGGTATATATCAACTTAATTAATGTAAAAGTCTTCATATTTTTACATTTATTAATAGCTGTGTACATTACAGGAGGACAAACTCCTACTTGAGAGCCAACTTATTTTGGCTACAGCAGAGCCTTTGTGTCTTGATCCTTCAATAGCAGTGACCTGTACTACAAACAGACTTCTGTACAACAAGCAGAAGATGAATACTCGCCCCATGAAACGGTAGTTGTCAGTGTGAAGCATGTTGAGACTTTCTTTGAAATTTTATGAAGTGTTTGAAAGAAAAATATAAGCAATGCTTTACATGAAAATTTTGCTTCTCATATGCAGTGCTCAAAGTAATATCTACTTAAATGTTAGGAATATGAGGAACAGTCAAGAAATTATATCTTATTTTTAAGTGCTCAATATTGTACTGTATTTCAATTAGTTCTAGATACTGTAATATGCTTATTTTTGTATGTCAAAAGAATGTGTGTATATGTATTATTTTCTTAACGTAATACGTTATTGCAGTTTTGATTTTGTCCTTTTTTTTGCATAATTCAGATGTAAGCTGATTCAGATGGCAGCTCAGTAATGTAAAATATATAAATGGATATCTTGCATATTGGTCTCTGATTTGTTAAAAGCTATGTACAAGTTTAACCCTGAATGAGGAAATCAAGGGAATTATTTATATGCTTGGCGTTTAGGCTAAACAGAAGCGTAGGCATATTAGAATCTTAGAAAACTTAAAAGTAACATGGAATGCACATTATACAAAATGTTGAAATTGTTTCATTTTTGTGCATGGTCGTTCACTTTTTCCCACAAAACCTTGAAATGATTCACATTTGTTCTACTAAAAGAGTTGCATTCACTCTGTAGAATGAAAATGTACTAATGGCCTGTCAGAATTACTGAAATATTTAAAACTAGATTTGCATTGAAATACTATGCTAATGTACAACCAGTGGTAATGTCTAAAAAAGTATAAATAATGAAATGATCCAGCTGTCCTTAAAATCAGAGTTTGGTGATTAACCAACTTTGCACTAGAAAAATAAGCAAAGGTGTTAAATGGATGTCCAGAACAGCATTAATGTACCAATGAGTTTGGCATGAGATAAAGAATGGAGGGTAGTTACTGTGTTTATGACTTTATAGTTACATAAGCAGTACACAGATCTTTTGATAGAACTGAAATCTGTGATAATATACAAATATTTAAAGCTTGGCAACTTTTCAGTTAGTTACTCATTTTGACAATGTACTTCAATTATGCATTTCAAAAATAACCCCATTCTTAGTGCTGAAACACATGAACAGAATACTAGTATTTTTAAAAAATATGAAATCAAGAGTTTGAGTTATACAGTATAATCCAGAATAGCAATTTTAAATTAATATCTCAAAACCTGTCTTTTAGTCTCAATGTAAGCAGCATTTCCCTGCATATGTTTGTACACAGGCAGTGGGGAATTTCATTTTGATGGTTTTACAAGCTTATCTGTCATTTTACCATAGGTGCTTCAAAAGGTACTCAAGGTCATCTCTGAACAGACAGCAGGAAGTAGCTCACTATTCAACACCACCTCAGCTCAGACTACTTGACTACTTACAGAAAAGAAGGGAGAGGAAAGGAGCCCAGCAGTATGACCTCAAAATTTCTAAAGCTGGAAATGTAAGTGTTCTGAGACATAGGTGGGTATACTTCTAACTGTTTATTTAAAACATTTAATACATTAATGCTGCTTTTTAATCTTCCAGTGCGTAGATATGTGGAAACAGAACCCTTGCTACTTGACTGCACCTTCTGAAGTGGATGTAAGTCCAGTTGTTACCTTTAGCCATTATTAGCAATTGCATTGAACATTGTATTGTATGAAGAAGTGACTAAAGAGTATCCAGTATCAAAGAATGACCTTTAAAAAGTGGGAGTGATTTTAACGTTTAAAATGATTTTTCTGTACTGTAAGGTATAAACACAAGCTAAACCAGATTGGAATACATTGCAATTGTAACATGACAGTGCAAACAGACCGTTAGTATTGTTCATCTTTGGGTTCAATGCGCACATGTCTATTTGAAGTTGTCTGGTACTATAAAAAATGGAAAAAAAAATGATGTAAGAAAATATTTAAAAATTAGTCATTTCTCAGCTTGGTAGAAATTCCTCTTTTTTTGACATGTTATGATACTATGGGACATAATATTTTCAATAGTTTAATTTTCTATATGAGAATTCTAGTTGGGAATTCTTCTGATCACTCTGTGTGCATTCTTCTCTCAGGGACATTCATATTCTCAGTTTCTGGCACTGCCAAAACACATACTACTAGCATACAGAAGGGACTCAGTGGGTTATACAAGATTGTAGCTTTGGACTTAATAGGGCTGGCAAGAGTGTGCATTTAACAGAAATGATACTGTAAGTTTGTACAAACCTTCTCTGCTTTTGCACTTCAACAGTGTTGTACCTGACCTAATCAGAGTCTTTAGGAGTTACTGGTGGTGTGAAATTTCTTAACCATTCCACATTGCAGGCAGTGATTTCAATCTGTGGTCTTAAGCCATGTTTCACACTTTTGTTAAGTTTAACATAGCAAATATGGTGTAACAGAACACCTCGAATACTGTGTTCAGTTTTGGGCCCCTCACTACAAGAAGGACATTGAGGTGCTGGAGCGTGTCCAGAGAAGGGCAATGAAGCTGGTGAAGGGCCTGGAGCACAAGTCTTATGAGGAGCGGCTGAGGGAACTGGGACTGTTTAGTCTGGAGAAGAGGAGGCTGAGGGGAGACCCTATCGCGCTCTACAACTACCTGAAAGGAGGTTGTAGCGAGGTGGGGGTTGGTCTCTTCTGCCAAATAACTAGCGATAGGACGAGAGGAAATGGCCTCAAGTTGCGCCAAGGGAGGTTTAGACTGGACATCAGGAAAAACTTCTTTACTGAAAGAGTGGTCAGGCCTTGGAACAGGCTGCCCAGGGAAATGGTGGAGTCACCATCCCTGGAAGTATTTAAAAGACGTGTAGGTGAGGCGCTTAGGGACATGGTTTAGTGGGCATGGTAGTGTTGGGTTGATGGTTGGACTTGATGATCTTAGAGGTCTTTTCCAACCTTAATGATTCTATGATTCTATGAAATGTAAAGTTCTGAAGGTTCTCCAATTCACTTTTTCTGAATGCATAACACATATGGGGGATGCTGTACAAAGTATCAAACTATCCTTGTCTGTTTCTTGCACTGGCTTTTAAAGACTATCATGTTAAAAACAAGAAATTGTGCTAGATTGACTTTAACTCTGGCCCAATATGATTATTGTTCTTTCTTTTCTGATATCTCCATTTTCTTTAAGGTGGAAAAATATGCCAAAGTGGAAAAGTCTATCAAGCCTGATGACTCACAACCAACTGTCTGGCCAGCCCATGTGAGTAGTTTAGACCTTTGGCCAAACTTCTCTGTCTCTAGTTAAAATGTTTCTTATTTCAACAAAATCTAAGTAACATAGGAATAGTCTTCCCTCCCCCAATTTAATTAATATTCCATGTGTTATATAGACACAGAAAGATTACCAGAGATACTTGTAATTTCATACAGTGCAAAATGCATGTGATCAGTCTTGTAATTTACTCAGGTTTTCCTTTTACAAGGAGAAGCAACTTTAGTCTCCCAAGTAACATGTGCTGTTGCTGTATAGTAAAGAAAGTATAATAAGTTACAGAGAGCAGTACTCTGCTCAGCAAATTACTTTCTTCACTCAGATACTCAAAGACTGATGGAAAAGAGCTGCTGTTAAAATCAAAATGTTGTATTTGGAAAGAGATTAAGTAATATTAAGTATCTCTTACAAAAATCTCTTTCTGCAATGTTTAAGTTGAACCTTAAGATTTTTGGCACAAATTACATGATTTGATAAGAAGTAGTCATTTAATATAAGTAGCCATAAATCAATTCATAATATCTTGCCTCTGAAATTACAAAGAATTAATCTTTATTAACAGCATCTATCATGGTGTTTTTGTAGGTTCATACTAGCAAAAAGTATTCCCATAGAACTTAATCTTCATCTCCAATGTTTTACTTGGAACTTTTTTTTTTGCAGTTATAATTTATATGAAACTTTCTATATAGGTTTACCCAGTCTGCCTTTCCATATCTAACATGATTGTTTAGAGTTTGCAATATTTTTGTATTTTTAAGAGATGATAAACTGTTTTTCCTCTCATCCCTTTAGATAACTTCTCGAATCACTTTCATTTTAGATAATGCACCCCTTCTAATAGTGTTTCTTACTGTATTGTATAGAACTGGCATGTTTTACTAGCTGTTTTTCTGTTATCACTTGAGACTTATTTGGTTATTTTCTTCTGTCTTTTTAGGAAATAAAAGATGATTATGTGTTTGAATGTGAAGTTGGTAATCAGCTTCAAAAAACAAAACTGACCATTTTTCAGTCTCTTGGCAATCCCTTGTACTATGGTAAAATTCAGACTCTCAAAGGTGATGAGGAAAACGACAACCTATTAACTCCGTCACAGTAAGTGACATGTTCTTTTAAACTGTGCTGTGATCTGATAGATGAAGGAAGACAAACATCACTTATCATTTTCAGTCACAAAAATACTCTAGAGCTATAAATCTGATTTAAGAGTTTTATTTGAAAAATTCAGCTAATGAATCTAAAATTTTTTTAACCAACCATCATATCTTAAATGTACTTTAATGTTAAATCTACATGTTCTTTTACATTAAAGATATATTGTAAAAAAAAAAAAACAAAAAAAAAACAACCAAAAAACAACCCAAAGGAAAAAACCCCCAAACCCCCCGAAAAAACCCCCAAAAAACCTCCTAACACCTCAAATTGTGGAGACACTGTGAGATATTGTTAGCATGCTTTTCCAGTGTTACTTACAATTTTGATTGTTGTCAAAATTTGCCTGACGCTATGAAAACAAAAGACTTCTTTGTATTATGTTTACCCTTATACCCTTAAATAAATGATGAAGAAAAACATGAGCTCCTAAGAAGGTTTGTCATTTTGAATTGTTTTGAATCTGCTGCTCTTGGTTGTGGTTCTACAAAGGTTCTCTATTCTTGGCTCTTTTTGTTGTGTGTACCAGATTCTTTGTATGGAGGAACCTGTGGAGCAGAATAGAGCATATAAATTTCAGAGGCGAGGAGCAGTGAGCCTAAGCAAACTTTAGTCCTGTTAATGAAAGTTATTTTTATTGTCTATTATGTAATTCCTATCTTTTTTTAATTAAAATCTTCTTAATACTTAGGATGTTTTATTCCTAGTCTGGGCTATTTACTCAGTCTAGTTTAACGCCAGCCGGCAACTAAGCACCACACAGCCGCTTGCTCACTCCCCCCCGGTGGGATGGGAGAGAGAATCAGAAGGGTAAAAGTGAGAAAACTTGTGGGTTGAGATCGAGACAGTTTAATAGGGAAAGCAAAAGCCACATACGCAAGCAAAGCAAAACAAGGAATTCAGCAAATCAAAACAAGGAATTCATTCATTACTTCCCATCGACAGGAAAAGCAGGGCTCCATCACGCGTAACGGTTACTTGGGAAGACAAACGCCATCACTCCAAATGTCCCCCCCCTCCTTCTTCTTCCCCCAGCTTTATATGCTGAGCTTGACGTCCTATGGTATGGAATATCCCTTTGGTCAGTTGGGGTCAGCTGTCCCAGCTGTGTCCCCTCCTGACTTCATGTGCACCCCCAGCCTGCTCGCTGGTGGGGTGGTGTGAGAAGCAGAAGAGACCTTGTCTCTGTGTAAGCACTGCTCAGCAGTAATGAAAACGTCCCCGTGTGATCCACACTGTTTTCAGCACAAATCCAAAACACAGCCCAATACTAGCTACTGTGAAGAAAATTAACTCTACCCCAGCCAAAACCAGCACATGTACTTAGTACTGATCTTCCTGGAACAGCAGTGCTACCTTACAGCTGTGTAATATGGCTGGGAATTAAAAGGATTTATGGGTGTTAGATGCCTGGGGTTCTTTGGAAATCACTGCTCTCTGTCCATTATTTTTAAGACATTACTAGTGGAATTTTATAAAAATTTGGATACTTCCTCATCAGAAAACTAAGTCATATGAAGTAAAAGGTGCAGAAGACTTTTTTGTTGTTCTGCTGTAAAATAAAATAATGCTTTTTTTTTTTTTTGAGCTAGAGAAGCAAAGAAAAGGTCTGTAGTGTTCAAAAAAAAAAATCACTGAAGTAATAAGTTTGCAAGCCATAAGTATTACGCGGAAGAGAAATGCTTATTTAGGAGTTTTGGAAAATCATGAGGAATCAGAATTTGCATAAGTGAAATCAAACAATGGAAACTAAATATTTGTTAAAATATTACAGGTAGGGCTGGTTTTGCCATACCCACAGGACCCTTATGTTTATATTTCAGTGTGAGTGTATTGACATGTTGATTTATACATAACTTTTCCCTGGTACTTTTTACAGTAGCAATTCTGTAGCAGTTGCTTCCATTTTTTGAAAGTATAAAATACAAAACTTCCATATTCTGCCTTTTGCTTTGTAGGCAATTTACTCTTAAAGGAGACCGTATTAGACTGTGTGTTTATAGTTGTGAAGCCAAGTTTGTATTTCAAGTACTAAATGATATCCAGTCCATTAAATGGATACGGTATCTCTTGTATTTTCAGCAGGTCTGAAAAAAGAGCAGCATTAACATTCCTTCGAAGTTTTGTGATTATAAAAACATGTTATTTTAGTCCAGTTCATGACTGAAAATGTATTATACATTTTACATTTCAGGTTCCTTATTGGGTCGAAGACTGATGCTGAAAGGTAAATTGATATAGTATGTACAACCATTTGGCTTCATGCCAAATAATGAATTCTGTTTCTTTTAGGCCATTATGACTGTTAATGTTGTGGTTGTGGAAACAGATGCAGAACAGATGAGGAAAATAAGAGGAATTAATTATCATAACAAGAAGTAGGATATAGTGTGCAGTTTCTATATTTAATAAGCAAGGAAGAATAGAGGAAAGCAAATATGTGAATACAGCTTGTCTCACTACCTAGATTTCAAGCATGTTGTTACAGTTATTTGCACAATTATTCTTTATTACATAGGTAATAATAAAATTCTGAGAGCACTTAGCAGGAATTTCATTTTGACATTTTGTATGGTAAATTAGCAGTCATGGAAATTGTTCATTTGAATTTTAAGTGTAATCTGGGACTTGTATATATGCAACTTACTTTTATAGTAAGTTTTGTGTGTTGTGCATTGCTTGATTCAGCTTTCTTAGAGAAGCAAGTAACAAAACAGTTTTCCAGTATGTATTAGTTGTAGAATGATTATGAGTAGCAATTCTGGCATAACAAAAGAAGTATTTGTTCAAATGTTTGTCAGCGTGCATCACATTAGATACCTGTGTTTCTTTGTGCATATGAGCACAGAACCTTTAAAAAGCAATCTCTGTCAGAGCAAGTTGTGTTTTTGTGCCTTCATAGGAGACCTCGAGGTAATGGCATAGCCATTACCCTCCCACCCTCTTCTTATGTGCTTGGCAGGGAGATGAATCCTTGATTTGGTCAAAAATCAATAAAAATGTTCTTTGTTTTAATAGATTATTTTGATCAAGAAACTTATATTCTCTCCTCCCTCTGTTGTGCTGATAGAGACTTCTGCTGTTTGTGCTGCAAGCTGAATTAGGGGATTGGTTGGCTGAAAACTAAAACAACAATAATACAGTTGTCTAGTTTTAACTGAGATTGCTTTCCTGATCATGTTTGCCACTGGGTTGCACAAATCCTTCAATCAGAATAAGTAGTTGGGTTTCAGGGACTAGGACAAGAAGGAGCAATAGAGGAGGAAGGAGGGCAGGACCACCTTTTTGAGTACATGGCATTTTATTACTCTGATTCCAGTGTAATTTTAAGGCAGTCTAAAACCTAATTGCTGAAAAAAGTACACTGCACCCTTTCTTCTGCCGTGTATCTTGGGGCCCTTGCTTATGTCTGCATTAGTCACGCAGCAGCATATTGAATCAGTGTTATACCAAAATAAAGTGTAGTTCATAGCATTTAGGTGTAAGCTAATGGAAATATTCCAACAGTTTTTCATTGAGGTTCAGACTGCCAGAGTGTAAGCGACAACAGGTCTTCATTTTCAAGTCTGCAAGGTCACTTTGTATATTCTGCTCATGTTTGTGAAACAGTATTCCCTCAACTTAGTTCTCTCAGATTAGTAGAAATGTAGTATTTGATTTAGTAGAACAGTATTTTAAACTTGTTTGCCTGATGCTGTTGATGCTTTAAATTCCTGGATACATCACTGCTCGTTAGTCTCGTAGAGTAAGACCTGGCTGTCCTGGTGCTCAAAGAAGAGTGATCACTTTTGATGTGGTAACTGATTCTTGGATGTACATTCAGTACGAACCTCTTAGTTCATCCCTTGCTTTCAGAGTCCTCCTCTGACACAGAACTCAAGTTAAAGGAGGATTGTCTGTTTCCCAGGGAGCATAAGCAGAGGACACAGCTTTATAAAAGATTCTGGACCCATGTGAAGGGAATGGGAATCCCCATTGACTGACATCCCAAAGAACTTCAGTTGCTTTTGGGAAGGGAACTGTTCTGTCTACTGTTTTGCATATTCCTCCAAAAGAGTGTTTCATAAACTTGTTTCTTAAACAAACTGTATTTTGCATTATAAAAAAAGACAAGTGATTAAAAGAAAAGTTAAAGCGGAATAAATTTAAGATAAGAGCCCAGGAAGATAAAGTAGGAAGATACACAGAGATATAGATATGTTTTTTATATGTGCATCTCTATTTTCTACAGATATATACTTCTATAATATATACTTATGTATAAAATAAATAATATATGACTGTGTAACATATACAATTATGTGTTTACATATACATACCTACTTTAGAAGTTCAAAGTTGTTAACCTTTTTGTGCCCTTATTGCTTGTTTCAGAGTGGTGAACCAGTATCAGGAGTTAGTACAAAGTGAAGCTAAATGTCCTGTGAAAATGTTTCATAATTCAGGTGGATCAGTCAATCTTAGTCATCTTTCTCCAGGGAAGGAAATGGAAGTGAGTTTATCAAGCCATACATTTCTTTTATTTGCACTTGATTTTTGAATTATTAGAATAATTTTTGCTATCCATTTAAAAGTAAAATAACCTAAAAATTTCATTCTGAATGAATTTTTAAATGTTTTATTGTCATAATCATTCAGAGTGAGTATATTGGAAAAGTGAGAGGAAAGCAGTTTTGTTTTCACTGTTCAAATGTTGTGTCTTTTAGCCATGTCATTTTTTCTTTTATTGTGGCCATGTATAGTATAGTTAGCTCCAAGGCTTTGTTGTAGCATTTTCCCCTGTTCAGATGAACCTTTCACAGAGCAGTATAATAAAATGCAGCTATGCATTTTATTTTACAGATCAGTAAACACAGATGCAGATGTAGTAGCTGAACTTCTTTTCTCTTACCTTAAGAAATTACTAAAAATATTTTCTCT